AGATATCTCTAATTGTCATTCTGACTAGTCGAATTATAATTATGACTAGTCAAAATATAATTAGAGATATCTCTAAATATATTTATGGAGTCAGAACAAAGATTTAAATGCTAAAAAGGCTTGCCATAGAGAGCGCTTCTGAACAGCGCAGCAGCGATGACGTAAGCGTGCCGAGGCCCGATATGGTGTGAGCGCGGGCCGTTGGGGGAGACGGGAGGGGGGACAAGCGTGCTTTGGCCCGGTTCGAGGCAACTGTACCTAGTGTGAGTACGGCCTAAAAGTCACGTTTCTCTTTCAGTTTCGGGTCCAAGTGAACCACGCTCAGGCCCACCTCTTCCAATCGGGCCAGAGCCGGCCAAGTGAACCGTGCTTGAGCCCGATTCAGCGCACTCACACTTCTCAAACAATCCGGGAAACGGGCCTTGGCACGGTATGGATGGCATAGTGTGAGTAGGCCCTAAAGCTTGACTCTTCTGCAGTTTCATTGTGTACTAAGACCGACAAAACATGAACATTTTCTATTGTGTTCGATTACATGGACACCATTAATCCGATTTTAATATGATTAAGACAATACTCTGATTAAGAGCAATTTTGATTAATTTAATTTGATTAAGAACATAATTTAACTAAACAGAAATCTAATTAAGACATGTGGAGGGCCGATTTTAGTCACATTATTGAAGTGCAGTACAGACATGTAAACACCGCAAATTATTACCATCATGTAGGACTTTCACCACATTTTGTGAGAGGATAGTCTATACCAGGGGTGTCCAAACTCTGGTGTCCTGCATATTTTAGTTCCAACCCCAATTAAACACACCTGAACCAGCTAATCAAGCTCTTTCCAGGTATACTAGAAACTTCCAGAAAGGTGTGTTGAAGAAAGTTGAAGCTAAACTATGAAGGACACCAGCCCGACTAAGTTTGGACACCCCTGGTCTATACACACACGGCTGTTTGATACTATTCTATGCACCTACTGAGTCAGTGCAGGACCACAGACACCTGCATTGTGAAATGCAGAGTTTTTTCTTCACCATACAGGAGAAAAAATTGTATTAAAACAACACTCTTTTAGCAGTTCATACTCACATCCAATATCTTGGTGTTGTTCCTGAATAAAAATGAAAGTACCAAACTGCACTTAAAGTCAACAAATTAAAAAATGAAGCACCCAAAATTACATGTAACAAAATGTGAATATCGTGGTGCTGCAATAACATTAATCGAATTATGTGAATAAATGTAAAACGAGATCATGAAAGGAACATTCAAAAGCAACTCAAATAAACATCTTAATCATATTATTGTCTTATTCAGATTAAGGCAAATAATTTGATTACTGATGTCTCCATAGAACCCAAGTGATCCTTTTAGTTACAATTCCTTTGAAATCATGTTTTAATTTTTATAATTTATAAAGCACTAGAATGACAAAAAATGCATTTTAAATAATGTGTTTCATAAACCATGGCTGCAGCAGTTGCAATGATGGTGGTAGGGCCAGTTGCAGCACGTTTCTTCAGTTGTTTCTTTATTTGCTGGTGTTTTTTTTGTAATTGTATGTGCTTTCTTAAATTGCAGCTCTCTCGGCCTCCGTATTTGTTGTGCAGTTATGTACACAATGGGTAATTTGCAAAGTTTAGAAATATGGCCTGGTCAGATTTAGGCATGGGAAGATTACAGGTTTCAAGGTTTACCGCGGTTTGGAATACCGCTAAAATGTTCTGTTATACTATTCCTAAGGTATATGTAAGGTTATTTAATGTATTTTTCATTTGTTGTAAAAAAAATCTGTGTTTTTAAATCTAACAAAACAAGCAGAAATCAATGATTTATTTTAACTATTTAGCCCAGGGGTGTCAAACGTACGGCCCGCGGGCCGGATCAGGGCCGCATACAGATTTAATCCGGCCCGCGAGATTATTCTGTAAATTATAAAAATGATCTGCAGTTTTTCAATAAAATAAGCTGCTGTTCCAAATTCTGTCCACTGGATTGTGTCCAACTGCAAATGGTTAATTTCATCCGATAAAGCAAGGATTCTCAATCGGTGAGCTGTGGTCCACTGGGCCTCAGCGATCCTGCAGGTGGGCCGCGAGATTAAAATTAACTCTCGATATTATACTATTATTTTTGCATTTCATTATTAATATGCTATATTAAAATGATTGAAGTAATGCACACTTCAGTTCTGTGATGGATTACTTCAAACTCGGCGCAAAAAAACACCTCATGATCGCGTCTGCAATTATAGGCAAGTCTGTTCATTCACAAACCATGCGTGAAGTGAAAGTGAAAGTTGTTCTTGTCAGCGATCTCCCAATAATATCCAACTGCAAACTTAACCGCCATCAGATCGACGTGTTTCAACAGATTTAGGGTGTTTTACTGTATTTTACATTTGTACAGTGAAACTATGGATATTTATTCAAGGTTATTATACCGTCAGAAACTTATACCGGCCTATGCCTTGTAAAGTTATAATATGTCTGTGTATTCATTGTGATTGCGGTAACGCTTCACTTTGAAAAAAGGAATAAAGCAAACTTTTTGGCCTTTTAACCTGTAGCACCTCCCATTCACACACACGTCACGAGCCTGTGAGCACTGAGGGCGCGCGCACTCTCACAAGCCGGAGAGAGACGCGCGAGGGGAACAGCGAGCGCGCTTACGAGACTGCGCCCATCACACCGAGATCCAGCAGCCCGAACAATGGCAGCATCCAGCACCTGATTTACAGATGGAGACGTGCTGGAGCTAAAGAGCGCCGCTTTTTAACGACACGGCCCTGCTGTCATCGGAGATGGAGCGATAGAGGAAAGAGAATCAGCGGGCTGTTCTCCATCAAGTGTGCCGCAAGCCTGCGTTTGAGTGAAGGTCTCGGCCGTTAGATCGCCCCCTGGGGGCTGGCTGCAGTACAAGTCATAAAGCCCGCCTCCTCCGTGTTAATGAAGGAGACTTGAGCCCAAATAAAAAAATTAATTACACTTGCAATAAAATGTCCCGAAAGATGGTTCTGGTCGATTAAGGCACTGATTATTGTGCTGAAATAGGTGCAGATCCTCATTTTTGTAAACAGTTTGTTTTTAGCAGTAATTTAATGCTGGGCGTGTCATCGTGATTGACAGCTGTGATTGACAGTTTCTCAAAGCGCGGCGTCTGAGCTTCGGCAGAAGACTGAAGTGTTATTACTCGATTTCTGTGATATTTTACTATGACAAAATGAGTTCAGCAGTAAACTACAGTTTCTGACATACATGATCTGGTGGAACACTGTTTATTCGCTAAGGTCAGAGCTTTTTTCGGGCTTTATTAGTTTGCTAATACACGCCTAACCACCCAGATAGCAAAATACACTGGGGCCAGTTCTTGCCTGCCGGAGACTTACCCCTCAGACTGACTACCTCTGCTGGACCTACTCCGGATGCCTGGACTCACTGCCCGATTCCAGCCTGAGTCAATTGAGCCAGATGCGGCGGCCGAGCGAGCAGGCGCTGCCGCATGCGAGCCGGAATCAGCCCGCGACGCCGCGACTAGGTTATGCGCTGATGCCCGGAGCTGGCGCGATTGAATCTTCATTATATAAAACCCTCACATTTGTTAACGTTATTACACCCATTTTTGTTGATATAACAACAAACGCATGCTACTATGTGAACGCAAAGTGTATCACTGAGTTTAACCTTTGAATAAAGATGCAAACAGCATAGCAATTATTTAAATAAAGGACAAAATAAATAACAATAAACCTGTATCGATTGCACAAGTATTAAATAATAATAATAATAAATACGAAAATGACAATAAAACTGCACAATAAAATAAACCCATTTAAGTACGGGGTATACAGGAGATTGTTAGCAGTAATTCTCTTTGTGTTTAAATAATAATCTCCACGTTGATCTCCTGTAAGGTTATTTGAACTTGCTTTATAGGACGTCTCTGCATTTTAAGTTTTGGCATGTTATTAAGTGATCTACTGAATTTGCTGTTATAAATCATTATAAGGTTCTTGAAACCGAATCTTATATAACCTAATAGAGCTGTAAATGTTAGATATTATTTATTTACATCATTTACTGTTGGCGTTTTATTTGAACACTGCAGCTAACATTAAAAAGAATGTAAATTCCTCGTTGCCAGATATAATGAAGGCATCGAATAAACCAAATGAAAACGGAGGCAAAAAAATTAAATAAATAAACAATTCAAGCGAAAATGAATAAACAATATACTAGTGATGTTACAGCAGATAGACGTTGTATTAATAGTGCAAAGTTTTTTTGCACAAATTGACAAATTGCAGGGTTGGGATGTGTAAATATCCTGTTGATATTTAGTAATCTTGCTGTATTTATCTTCTAAACGCACGATTGTTCCCGCATGGTAAATCGTTATGGTGTGTAGGCTATATTTTGGGTTCTGTTGATGGCTAATTAAAAATAAAAACCTTTCTAAAAATGTATGTGTTGTTTATATGTTATTGTTCATATTTTACAAGTGTTATTTCTACCCCTATGAAGATAACAAATACCAACAACAAATATAACAATAAGAGAATATATTATTTGTGCTCATATTCAGGCTAGAGTGTATAAAAGATCGTTTATTTCTGCAGTCCACCATGTATTGCTTTTATTAAAGTTTAACAGCTTACATCACACCGTTTTTAAACTGTATATTATTGTGTTTTTTTAATGTAAGTGCTTCTATTTACATCAGTGAGCGTTTGTTATAGTGCAGACACCGGCAGTCGAGTGAGAAGTTCGGGGGGCGTGGTTGATTTTACATAAAGCGTTTGGTTGGAAGCTCGACTCCGCTCATTATCGCGGCTCCTCCTCTGGCTCCATCAGACAGTCCTTCTGCGCGTGTCTGGCTCCAATTTCAGCAGTCTTTTGCGACAGTTTGTGCCCGTCAAGCAGGCGTTTTGCCCTCAAGGCGTTCAATGGCAAAAGGGGCTGTCGCGTCGTCCATATTTTTTACAGTCATTGTTCTCCATCACTGACGGGAGGCGCGTCCACCTGCTCTCTGACTGGAGGCCCGGGATGCGCGAAAACATGCACAAGTGCCTCTGATAAAGGAAATTATTTCAACATTTAAGCTGGTATGTGGCGAAAAGCTCTCGGTGTGAAGAAATAACCACTATTTGGCTGCTTCAAGAGTGGGTAAGTGATCTGACGTGCTGTTCTGCGTGAGATACGAATGAAAACGCAACACTTTATCAATATGCATGCATTTCATCACTGCTTTTAAATAGTGAACACTGATATTACGTGATGTGATTAGGTGGTATTCGTAGAGTGTGTAGTACTGCGACTTTTGGCTTCGTTAAACCCTGCACACTTCTGACACTTGTCTCGAAACCAAGGTTTTTTTTTTGGCATGTGTCGAAAGACATGCTGTAGTGAGCTCCCTACATTGACAGCATTTTTGGAACATCATGGTTTCAGGAGCAGCTTACATAAACAGATTTCTGAAGGGACATCATGGTGTCAAACAAATAGTGAGCATCCTACGTTTACATTTCAACATTACCGTTTTTTTAATAGAGTTGTTTTACTGGGAATGAAAAAAAAACTGTCGGCTTGCTATAGGGAACATTGGAAGCGGACTGCTTACTTACAAGGGATGCCTGCATATTGTAGTTTAACACATTTGTGTGCATAATAGTTTCAGAAACACTTAAAAGGCATTTAATGCCATAGGGGTAGTTCCTGCACAAATAAAAAAATTATTTAAATTTATCTTCTGTTGAACATTTTGATTATTTTGAAGAAAGATGAACACCTGTAACCATCGACTTTTATAGGAGGAAAAACAAATATTATGGACGTCAATGGTTACAGGTTTTTGGATTTCCTCAAAATATTTATTTTTTGGTTCAGCAGAAGAAAGAAACTCATAAACGTTAAAGATGACAGTAAATGATGACAGATTATTATTATTATTTTTTTTGGGTGAATTATCATTTTGTTATCAATGTGGTGTAAAAGTCTAGATAAAAAGCTAATCAGGTTTTACAGACACTAAGTGCTTGATTATTATACTAAAATAAAAAAAAAAGATTTATATGATCAGTTTTAAAAATTAAATAATAAAGTAAACATGTTAGGCATGGTACGATAACCGTTTTCATGGTATACCACGGTTTGGAAAAGTCATTGTTTAAAAATCACCAGAATTTTCTGTAATACCATTCCTAGAGTATGTGGAAATTTTTTTATGTACTTTTTTGTTGTTGTTTTTAGAACAACAGTATCTCCAGCAGAAAAAATATCCAAAGATAACATTTTAAATTGTAAAGAAATCTATGTTTTTGAAGCTAACGAAGACAGCAAAAGTCTATGATTAATTTTCATTGTTTAGCCTGACATGTTTACTGCGCCAAAATATTTTAAATCTTTCAAAGAATAAAATAAATTGTTTTCAAAGACGAAAAAAAAAGTTTTTCACCCAGACATTTAAAAAGAATATATTTTAGAGCAGTAATCACACTACCGTGATACCATGAAACCGTCATATTTTTATCCAAGGCTATCATACCATCAGAATATTATACCGACCCATGCCTAATACACGTGTGTTATTATGCATAAAATAGTTCATTTACTAGCAATGATTATTCAGTTACAGTAAGAAAATGTACTGTTTTTTTCTCAAATGCTTTAGAATTCAAGAACAAATTCATGCTTAATCAGTAATGACTTGACATTTTTTGGCAGCTTGGCCTTAAAACCTTGCGATCACTCCTGACCTTCAGTGATTATCCATGTTCTGCTTGAGATTTCAATGCTCTGTAGATTTGTGTGGACTATAGAATGTGTTTGAGATGCTGTACTCTTACGTTATATAGGAGTTTTGTGCAGGTTTGATTACATATAGAAACTGTGTGTGTGTGTGTGTGTGTGTGTGTGTGTGTGTAATATTATTAAAGGATAAAAAAAACTGCATTCCGATTGAATACGTTGGCTGTTTTGAGGACCATGTCAGCCCAATCTGTGCCGCTCACTCACTGAGTCACAAGTCTATCAATGGGCTATTTTCTTTTTTTTTTTTTCTTCCAGTGTTTAGTCATAGCGTCTGCTGGTTTTCTTTCCTATGGTTGCCACAACAATGCACCCTATGATGATGGCTATAAGGATGAGTGTTTTTTGAGGGGACCAGATGGCATTGTGAAGTATTTGAACCAAGGGAAAATCACATTTTGCAAGAGAAATTATGTTGTGAAACTGTGTTTTCGCAGCTAAAATGCATCCATTTTTTTCATCACTTTATTCCAGACATTTCATTTCTGGTTCTGAATTTTGTTTTAATCCTCACAATGAAGCATTCCTTTCATTTCACTCATTTTTCCCTCATTGTTATGTTTTTTCATGCATCTCTTCATAAAACATAACATTGAATCTTCAGTTGCATTGATTTGTGTTTGTCTGCGAGCGTTGTCGCTGTTGTTGTGAGCCTATTGTTTTGCGCTTTTAATTGAAAGTCCTTGGCCTGAGGGATTTCTGAAAGCTTCTTTACAACTAAGCTACTGCGGTAGGAAAAATCCCTTATTAGCCACATTACAACAACAGTTTTGCTAAGTGATTATGTAGTGAAAACCTACAGTACCTTTGATGAGTCACAGTAAACTGAGTGATTCAATTTGTAAGACCAAGGCTGATTAATTGGATGATTAATTGGCATTTTGAGATTTCTTGCATCAGTATTTATACCTGATTAAGTGATTATTGTGCCAATAAACTACCTATAAGCTCCTCTATAATTTAGTTCATATTTATTCTCACACTGGTCTTGTTATTAGAATATTCACTGGCCTGCTCTTAAAAAACTGCCACAGAATGAACATATGGATATGGCTGAATAATAAAGAGTTCAGTATGGAAATGACATACTGTGAGCCTCACACACCTGTTTCCACATTCTCATGTAAATCCCGTGAGTGTAAAAGCCCAGTGAAAAACAAACCAATCAGAACAAAACACAAACTCTGATGATGGGATCAGTAATATGCATGGTTAAGGCTACATTTGATTGGCCACTACTTTTCTATTAAGATTACAACAGTGATTTTTTTTCTATACTTGCATTTTACTTACTATGTATGTATGTGGGACTTTTACTTTGAAAACAATACTGGAATCAAGGTGGATTTGACATGAAGCACAGCTGCAGCCGGTGATGAATGAGATTAGCCGAGCGCAGGTGGGGGCGGAGTTGAAAACGGACCTGTCAAGCCAGACAGCTGGACACTTCGGGACTCAAAGTTGCTGCAGTCATGATGACTGATCACATGGTGTAATCCTTTTTTACTTTTTTTTTTATTTATAACAACAAAAGATTTACAAATAAAACAGAATACAGTCTCTACAAACTATAGTTCAATTTTAAACAATAAGGGAAATATAAATTAAATATATAACAATAGCATGAGAGAAATAAGGGGAAACGAGAGGGTAATATAAACAAAAAAAACGAATAGGCCTATTTAAATACAAAGCAATAAGCACAAATTCTAGGAGTATAAACATCACTCTTGGCTAATACGTCTTGTTAAGATATGCTAAAAAGGGGTTTACATTTTTTTACATTTATAGATATAAAACTTTCCAATAAATATTAGTGTAAAACTCAAAACAAGGTGTTGATTAAGTCTTAAACAATGATTAATATTATTTTTTATAATGAAAGCATTCCAAAAAGATTGAACAAGACGACATTCCTAAAATAAGTGAGCTACATTTTCAGTAGAAGTTTACCAGAAAGACCTGGTATAAACGACAGGAAATATATATTTTATAATCCTAAAAATCATTTTATAATTATTTAGTAAAATAGTTATTTAACTTAATTTGTTAAGGAACCTTTATGGTGATAGGATCAATGATGATAATTATTTTGCTACAAGACTGTAAGACTTATTTGATTTAATATTTAGGTTATTTACTAAAGTATATAATTTAAATCGTTCATGGAGCTGAATGCAGTAAATAGTCTGTATAAAAAGATCAAAAATAAACCTGTGCAAACAAGCCAGCCTTTATAATCAGAATTTTTAACAAAACATGATTACTGCAGTAAGATATTTGTAGTCTTTTAATAAACATGATGTGTGCAAGGTAGAGAGGATATAAAAAGTTAATTGTTTGTTTTGAAATTTATGAATTAGAAGTTGTCAAAAAAATTAACCCAAAAAACGTGGTTGTTGTCATGTGGTGAACCTGGCTAATCGTGTAATATCGGTGTCATCATCAGAGCTCGTGCAGTCGCTCTTCAGATGCTGCATGGTCTGAATCCATCGTCTGATCTCGGAGCACTCTTGTGGTACTTTGATGCCACATGTGACAGTCACATGGCATCAGCGCAGCATCAATCTGGATAAAATTTCTAACCAGCATGCTCCGCTTTAAAACAGATTTCGGTTGATTTGCGCAACGCTGCATGAAGTCGAACGCAGCTATAGTTTCAGGAAGTGTAACCAGGCATGGAGTGTCTCATCTTATCACAGCTCGTCATTAGAATGCAAAATTTGGAAAAGAGACTTAAGGTCTCTTTAATTACGCTGTAAAATACTGGGTCCCACATAATTCCTTCATATTGTCCTGACACAAATTGATTTAGTTAACCTAATTGTTTTTACAAATTTAAGTCAATTGAAGATAAAAAAAATTAAGCTCTCTTTCAAAAACTTGACAATTGTGTCAATTCAGATCATTTTAGATAAGTAGTTTAAACAAGCAGCAAAATAATATTTTGAGTGTATATTTTATGTTAGTTTAATATGTATACTGTGAAATTTGCCACATATGTTTGTAACGAGGCAACAATCACATGTAGACTATAAGTCTTCAATACATATGTATGCATTATACCAGGGGTTTTCAAACTGTGGGTCGTGACTATTTTCAAAGCTTATATATATATATATATATATATATATATATATATATATATATATATATATATATATATATATATATATATATATATATATATATATATAGTGGTAACGCCCACACAATATCAAGCTTTAACATCAATAGACATTTGGTTGATTTTTAGGTTGGACATTGATGTCAGCCTGACGTTGGGTTCTGACGTCAACCCGATTTTCATTTCCAAACAACATGCAACATCCCTACGGTATTGGTGTACAACGACAATG